TATGTATTCATGCAGCTATTTTGTTATTTTTATCAATCCTACTGAGATTACACATTATGCACGATTTTAGAAATGAAATAGCCATGCATGTGCAAACATTGTATTGTCTCCTTACTGTGAGAACCTGAAAGAAAAAACTGGGATCTGAAAGGTACAATAGACACTGAGAAAAGGAAATTAACTTATTCAAAAGGAAAGAGTTACTGAGTTGAGGAGAAGCACAGGAGAGGGAGTGGGGGAAAGAGATTTATCTATATATGTAAGCAGGATGGTTTGGACAACTATACTGTGCATTTCTGCTGGTCTATGAAAAGGAGCAGATAATAATTTGTTTTGTCTCCTTTTTTCAATTGTTTGTACTTTTTTCTTAATTTTTTTCTTTCTTCCCATTTTACATTCATATGTTTGGTAATATGAATAACTGGTTGAAAGACACCACTATATATTACAACAAATACTGTGAAATTCATAATACTGTGCTAAGTGAAAAAAAAAAAAGAAGAAGAAGAAGAAATAAGAAGGCCAAAGAAGTAGGAATGCACAGAAAAGTCTTTATTCTTATGGGGGCTAAAATCAGACAATACCCCCAAGCACTACAAAGCAGCCAAAGATCATTATTAGAGAAGTTCAGGATTCTATGAAGGCAAAGAGGGGCCAGATTTGGGGCCTTGAGAAGGAGATCTGGGGGAAAGCAAAAGTAAAGTAACATCAGAGCACGAATGGCGGTTAGTAGAGGAAGGAAGAGATGAAGAGATGAAGAAGGCCTAGGGCCTGATGCATGCAAAGGCTCAGGGGGTAAGACTGGTTTGGACAAGCTTCAGTGAGATGCACACTATTTGACATGGAGGATACGGCCAGTTGCCTTGATGTGTGAAGAAAGCTGGCTCGACCTGGGATTGAATTTGTTGACACTCTTAAAGTCTTTGGGGGAGTAGTTGGTTGTGATTGACTACAGATTTATTCCCTGGCAAGTTTGCTTTTACTGAAGTTGGGAAGAGTGACAGGCAGGAAGCCACCCCTGAGGCAGGGAGAACTGCAGGAGCTTCTGCAGTCAACCAGGTGAGAGTTGATGGCATTTGGAACAAGGACATGCATGCTTGGATAGGGACGAAGTTGCACATTTATATCATATTTAACAAATCATAAAGAATTAAAAAGGGGTTTTAATTTTTTAACTGGTCACTGAGTAAATTGTGCTTTCTGTCACTGATTGAAACAGAGGAAACAGATTGGTAGCAGCTGAAGGAATGACAGACGGGCCTGGACTAAGGATGATGGGGAAGATGATTTCAGAAAGTGCTAGCAATCACAGGAAGTGTAACACTTAACCATAAAGTGAAGCCCTTATGCCACGGAATGCAGGCTAATAAGCAAGACATGGCTTGAAGTCCTGAATCATCAAAATGCCCCACCTTTCAGATGAGAGAGAAATGCTTTCTCTGTTAGTTGAGTCTCTGTATTTTGAGATCTATTTTCTAGCAGTTAAGTCTGTATCCTAAGTTTCTCTTTCTTTGTCACAACCTTTGTCTCAATCACTGGCATCCTTAACTTTGAGTGCCTGGGTCCCCACAGGAGTTACATGGCAAGAATGTGGTTGCAGAGTCACACTGAGAACAGGCTGTTGAGCACGAACCCAACTTCTTGTTGGTCAATGTTAAAGTAACCCACATGCAGCTAAGCACTGTCCCTGTCCCTGTCCAGTCTTCTTGTACCATTCAGAGATTTATTAGTCTACTGGAAGAGGGATGTCCTGGAAATAAATGATAATATTCAAAATATGATGTAAAGAGAAAAGAGGCTGAGATAGAGTCACAGAAGCATCCTTGTCTAGCTGATGGTTGGGTAATGTAAGGCACCCTCTTCTCATCAGAAATGACAGAAGAGGAGAACCACAGGAGAATGGGCAGGAGGTGTCTCTGACACCCAAGGCAGGGACCATTTTAACCAGAATCATA